TAACAGCTCATTAGCACCAGCGGTGGGGGAAAGGCGGACGGGTGAAATCAGGAACCTGGCACACCAGAAACAACTTTCTGCGCTGCACTCCCTGTTTTTTCTGTCTTCCGTGGGGAAAAATACTCAGCTGAGTAGTGCCCTGCTCCGCAAAGGAACACAGTTAAACAATTTTATAGCCGAATCCGTATTGATTAGCTGTATCCAGTGATGTACAACGAGGGGCAAGAGAGCGCGCAGCAAGACCCACTGAACCCCCTCGATGCTAACACCCTCCAACCGCTTGTAAATGCCTCTTGAGAAAACGCTTTGTTGCAAAACATTATACTGCTGTGTTGTGCAGTGTATGTATTCTTTTCGAATGTAATGTGAGAAGGACAAGGTCATTTTTTGCATTATTCAAACGGCTGAGTGTCTATTCTGGGGATAAGGTATCCTCTTTAGCTTGTAAGAGTGTTCCTTTTCTCTTTTAATACATGTACTTATTTTTTCTTTGTCTCCCTTGCAAATAAAACGTGTATCCATGTAGCTGCTAGCAAAATCACCAGTCTCATTTATTTATATGTCATTATCGATGGTGAAGACTCTTTCTGCATTATAGCAGAGATTTCCTATCCAGTAACAAAGACAGTAGCTGACATTATTTCCTTTGTGCTTTTTGGGTCTCAACCAATTAAGCAGTGGCCAGCTTTGAAAGCTGTTATGGGGTTTTGAACTGTCTGCTGCTTGGTCTTCAGGACCATCGGTTCTCTCAGTTCGGGCCGCAGTAGAAGAGCTCAGCATACTGCTGAACAAGTCATACGGGCTGCAATGCAAATACTGCAGATCCAGTAAGAAAATCATTTTGCATTTGAGGAAGAGTGGCTTGAACTATGGATTATTTCTTCTCTGTGAAGTTAAAATCCCTGGTTTCCCATCTAGCTCTAGAGAGTAATGTAAGGGTCTGAGACAAACAGCCTGCATCTTAATCAGCAGATCACGTAATTCGGTCTGCCTACATTTGCAGCGCAGACTTACAATACTCGCATTCTGGCATGTTTCGGTTCCTGTGATTACACTGACATGATGACGCTGAGCATGTGCTCTCTTTCTTTGGGAGGTGTCATGTAGCCTCTGCGCTATCGTCACCTGCAAAGATAAAGAGCAAATATAGTAAGAAACGCTATGTGCTCATCATGTAAGGCACATTTGTGGCATTAGTTGTATTACTTAATGTCGTTTATTTGCTAGCAAAAACCATAGGTTATGTTTATCTCAATCAATGAGCACGGCTGGCACTTTCTTA